CAATTACTCACTAGCCATTAAGAATAGAGAATACAAAGTGTAAAAGACTACAAGGTATATATAAAAAAATCAATATCCATTTATACTTCCCAATCAACGGAAATTAAAGCAATATTAGCACATGTGTTTTTCTTTGATTAGGAAAATGCATAAGTAAACTTATAAAAATGTACAGGGTTTGAAATTCCACATTTTCAAATAGATTAAAAATCGCATAAAACTAAGCCAAAAAAAAAAAGCTAAACGTTTTCCCTTTTACCAAATTTAACACTCTCTCCCTTTTCAATTATAGGTTAGACAATACATGGACATATTTGATTCATATTTTAAGACCGAGACGAAGGCGAGGGTTTTAAATGTTTATAAAATTAAACATAGCATTGTCAGACCATTTAAGATCATATTCACACCTTCGAGTGACAATAACTATTAATCCTGTAGCATTGTAAATAATCAAGCCTTAATGTGTTCACTATATGCGTATTAACCAATTTTGAACGAAACATAACTATTGATATCAAAGGTTTTTAACTTAACATAAAATGTTAATAAAACAGTTGAAAAACTAAAGATAACACACATTACATTACACACATATAAAATTGCTCTTTCCGCTAGCAGAACCTACCTATTAATTGTTATGACCTAAATAAGCATGGTATATTTGCCACTGAACGTGGATCAAATAACAATTAAACAATAATGCATCCTTCATTCGTCATCCATCAACTTTTCTGCATGATCATCCGAGTAAAACTATTTAAACAGTTCGTCATTACTTTTATTCATAGTAAATTCTACTGGTTGTAGATTTGGTAATCTGAGTATAACAACAACAATAAAGAAACAGTTACAGAGACGAGTTCAGAGCCTTATGCAGTTCAAAAAATTTCTTCTAGACTATATGTACGATGATTGGTGGCTTGCGACCACAATGCCCAAAGAAATGGCAGATGAACTTCCTGTAAGTAACCTTGTTCGTTCTAATAGTTTCTTGTACTTAATCTTTGAATTATAACTTTTCATTTTTAAGAAAGTACCAGTGTACAAAAGGAAACATTGCTTGTAATACTTATTTTATGGGACTTAATAATAAAAATAAAACCGCATTTATATTCTGTTGTGCTAAACGTAAAGAATTATTTTAAAACATTTATATCGTGAGTACTGCAATTTGCACTTTTTTAAGTTTACTAAGTTATCAATAAAATGAATTATTTTATATATATATATATATAGAGAGAGAGAGAGAGAGAGAGAGAGAGAGAGAGAGAGAGAGAGTCTATAAGAATCTACCAACCAGTAAACTTAATAGGTATTGGATCATCAAAATAGACAATACTACACAAACAGGGAAAATTATATGAGTCTAAAAGATTGTGTAACAATACCGATAAATAGATGGAAAACAAAACACTAAAAGTGTTGAATATCATCGCACAAAGATGGAAAAACTGAACAGATGATATAAATTATACAATAATTGCAATATATATAATTTCTGCTGGTTTTGTTCCATGAGAAAAACATTTTTGTGTTACCTTAATGTATTTTAGATAGTTTTTTTTTTTTGGTAGTTAATATTGATGTAAATAGTTTTTCCGTTGTTTTTTTTAGTTAATATTGGTGTAAATAGTTTTTTCCTTTGTTTTTGTAGTTAATATTGATGTAAATAGTTTTTCATCGATTTTTTTATTTAAATAGTTTTTCATTGATTTTTTTGTGTAAATAGTTTTTCCTTGTTTTTGTAGCTACTTTTGATGTAAACGTTTCTGTTTAGTTTTGAAACTTATTTTCCTTAGCTTCCCGATTGTTTACGATGTGGCTCATACAGACAAAGATTACAGGAAGCAGAACTGTGGATGAGCAGTGGCGGAACAGCTTCATTACTCCATAGCCATGACGACCATAACATCCATTGTGTTTTATTTGGAAGGAAAGATTTTATTGTGATAGATGGACAATACAAATCGTCTTTTGATTATACCGAGAAGGTAAAATAATACTGCGGTCTTTTATGTCTCAAAGACTAAGTACCTTGTTTTTTTCCCTCCTTATATTAACGACTTTGATTTCGTAACTTTGCATGGCCGCTTTACAACTTTATGGTTTTGTTAACATTTCTAAGTACATACACTATGAACATCAGGATAAATGTTCACCTTTATAGAGGTAATAGATATTTTTAGTTTAAAACATGTTTATTAGAGAAAAAAGAGCGGAAGGTACCAAGGGAACGTTCAAAACTGATAAGTCGAGAGAAACCGACAACGCCATAATATCAAGAAAACGGAAGATGACAAAAGACAAACAAGTTCACAAAACACAAATAGAAAACTAAAGACTGATCAAAACGAACCCAACAAAGAAGTAGGCGTGACCATAGGTGCTTCGAAAAGGGTAAAGCGGATCATTGTCAATTAGTTGCACCCGTTGGTCGTGTTATTTTTTATTATTAAGACAAATTCATGAAATTATTCAATTTATTTAGAATGAACCTTAACTTATTGATTTTTATCATTGTCAGTACCACAATGCCGGGTCTGGATTCTCAAAGTTAGACATGGATATGATAAACATGTTCAAAAATAAAGACATTGCTAATATACCATGGTCGTATGCAACAATAAATCAAGGAGACTGTATACTCATCCCAGCTGGTATGTTATTACGTATTATGTATTATCATAAATAGACATATAAAGGAAAGAAGAGAAGAACAGTTCAGTAAACTTTAATGCAATCGGATATTTGCATAAAACAGAGAAATTACAATCAATGCGAAGGCAAGACGGATACAATTAAAAAATGTCAATAATTGTTCACAAAGACATGCAAGCATGATAACAGCAATGAAAGCTCAGAGTAAAGGCATCTAATTGAGTTGAAGTCATTTCCCCTGGCCGCCATATTGCCATATTGGAAGGCAGTTTGGTTGATTCTCCTATTTGTGTAACCAAACTAAATGAGTGGATACAAGCATATCTGATAAAAGATCTTTATCAAGTAGAATTTTTGAATATACCAAGGCTTAAGCAACCTTTTTTAAGGTTTAACAATTAGTATAGAAGTAGTTGAAGTCATTTCCCCTGGCCGCCATATTGGAAGGCAGTCTGGTTGATTCTCCTATTTTTGTAACCAAACTAAAAGAGTGGATACAAGCATATCTGATAAAAAGATCTTTATCAGGTAGAATTTTTGGATATACCAAAGCTTAAGCAACCTTTTTTAAGGTTTACCAATTAGTATAGAAGTTTAATTTGTTTGTTTTATGAAGGAATTTGTGCACGTTGACATCCAAAATGGTGGCGAAGGGAAATAACTCTTACTCAAATAGGTCAATCGAAACTCTTAGTTTTGGTAAATAAAGGCAAAAATATTTTCTAAAGAAAAATCAATACAATAAACACAAACTTAAGGATAAGATGGTAAGAAATCAATGTTACACATATTCAAACATTTTTACTACCGGTATATGATGTTTTAATATTTTATCATGAATGTTTGCCTTGTGCATATATTTGTATTGTTCATATGCCTTCATCCTCTCGGGGTATACATGTGCATTTCTTTAATAAAAAATCACAAGTGATAAAAAAAAGAGATTTGGTGTAAGTGCTCACACAAATCATGTACTAACATCTATGAAATAGAACAGAGTAGCACACAACTGACTACCCATAATTGCAGAAGTTACTACTAAAATATAGTGAAACATAAATATTTTCTAGGTTATTTACATCAGGTCAGGTCATATGGTCGTGGTATTTCCTTTAGTATATTATTTGCTCCATCTAGAGTTTTTGATTCATCAGACTGTAAGCTAACCACTGAAGTAAATGGACAGAAGAAAGAAGAAAAATTGTCTGATGCAGCATATGTTTGGGTTGTTCGAGATTCTGAAAGGGTAAGTTAATCGATAATATAACTCTTGTAAAATGTTTTCCCGATATATCTTTGAAGAATTTGAAATGCAATATTTCTTCTCATATTTGCCATTAAGGTACACTAGCTTTGAGAATAGAAATGGTAATTTAATTGTCAGTCTACTTTAAAAATCAATAAGACATGTCACAAAAATAATGCACAGCTCTTTAGTTTTTTCTCATTGTAATAAAATAAAAAATCTCTGAGAAAAGGTTTACTAAACAACTATTAATAAGATATCAACTTTGATGTCTATGTGTAGGATTATATGTCTAACTTACTGAGGACAATTTGTACATTTCCATACTTCACCCAATAATTCGTATATTTCAGCAAATATCTGCAATGAACATGGAACCATCTATTTTGAAGAAATACCTTGATCTATTATTGAGGGCTGATGATGAAATTCACTATGAAAAATTTGAACATTTTTTTGAAGATGCTTTGGAACAGGTAAATGTTTACATACAGATGTAGATCTGCAATGCTTTTTTACACAGCTTTTGTAGACTTTACAATGAAGAGTATACAATAGGCATTATATAGCCGAGATGTCTGTTTTGTATAATCATATGTCGTTGAATTGCTATCTCACTGAATTTTACACATTACTTATATAACTATTGTGTCTGCATTATATCAAATGTTGCTACTCATAAAACATGCGACTGTAAACGAAGTGTGTTCATACTAATAAAAAAATAAAAGAAAAAAATTATATAAACCAGAGACAAGGAGATTTTTAACTATACACAAGTATTTTGATGCATTTGAAGCAACATATAAACGTTTGTCCTTTTTATATGATTAGTGGCAGATTTCTTTTTCAAGATCTGATGTTAATTTACTTAAAACATTTCTTTTTTCTATTTATAGTATCCTGACCATACCTCAGCCAGAGAAGCATTCGATGTTTTAACAGATAAACCTGGACAGACAAAGCTGACCAGAGACCAGTTGGAAAATATCAAGCCAAACAAACTTGTACATCTTTCTAGAATATTTAATGATGCACGTACCAAACAGGGCAACTTTGTTCGTGATGAGCTTTAACCAATAATACTAAAACATATATTTTCATTTTTTATAAAAATAAAAAGTACATGTAATACTGTAATATTTACAACAAAGTACATTTACATAATATCTACACCAAAATAACTCTTCTTCTTCACCTCATATATATTTTGCTTTCATGGAAATATATAAAACTTTTGCATCTATTTTAAAAAAGTCTCTTCAATATTAAAATTCCAGTAGGTTTTAATAACCTTCAGAATTTTATCCTATGAGTGAAACAAATACACACAATTTTCGAAATGTGTCTATCAAATTTGGTATTTTGTAATTTTGCAAGATCACTACTGGGTTGATGCCACTGCTGGTGGATTACATTCCATGACGGTACCCAAACGTACTCTAATAAATATCATACTATAAGCTATTTTACACAAATGAATTCTGTATTCTGGGTTTGAAAAATATAGTATAGCGCAAATGAAACAGCTTAAAAACAACTATTGGCACAAAAGAACTGCTGCCTCACAAGATCGATTAATCAGTACTTTTGTACTAGGTTATACATGCATTATTTTGATAGTTTAGAATTTATCCGCTTGAATAACGACAACAATGTGTTATCACCTCAGGTTATCCTCCCGATAAATAGATTTTCCTTAGCTTGTTTTGTGTGTGTCCATTTAGGTCTTATTTTAGGGTTGCTGTTTTTCAACATTGTATACCTTCTCGTTTATCTGTATTGACCCCGAAACTCAAAAAGTCGACGGTCAATACAGCTGAATGAGAATCTATACCAAGGCCAAATCATAAACAGCTAGTTCATAACACTTTTATCAGTTGAATTTTATTCTTCTATTAAACTTGAAACAAATACAGGAAATCCTATTTTGAATGAATTTTTCCTAGTCACGATGTATTTTTGTCAATATTGATGAGATATCTGATTTCCCATCTGAGAATCTTTATAGTAAGTGTTTAAGTGACACCGATTTATTAGCATATTATAACCTTAACTGCCTAAAAAAAAGAACTATCAATATATATATATATTATGCCTATAGTTTTTGCAATTAGGATTATGCCAAAGTATTCAAAAATATGTAAGTAGAGCAGATGACTCACCCTAAAATACAACAGTTACAATAGAAAAAAATATACAAAAATGAGGTATTTAAATCAATAAAAATGATTCATAACAGGAACAAAATTATTTACATGTATAACGATAATATACATCACAAAAAAAATAATCTATCACAAAAATGTATAACTGGCACCATATGGAAATATAGAAATGCAAACTCTTTATAAGATTTTGACTAATTGTGGATTGATTATAACTATAACTCCAACAACCAAAATAGATAAATTATTCTCACAGAAATGGCAAAACAGGCACATTTGTATTTACCGGACGGTGAAACACGAGTCTTTTAAATACCAGCTCGTCTTTCTGATCCTAAAAGTTTTGAGGAGCCAAATTAGCTGTCCACCTTATAACCATGAATAAATGCATTAATTGGGTTCCGACAAATCCAATCTTACAATATTTAAACGATATTATCGTGGCCAATCGTAAAATACAAAGCTTAGAAAAATTAAACTGTATTGGACGTTGGTAAAAAGTGTTTCTTTGTCAGTTTAATAAATGTTCGAAAAATGTTGCTGCACAATCAGGAATCTTTGTTGAATGCTATATCTATATGTTCAAAGTCGGATCTGGTCAGAATTCTTGCTCTTCTTACCTTAAAAATAAGAAAAAAGAAAATTGTTTTATTTTCTGTAAAAGAGCGAAAAGATACACGTGCAGAGGAAAAAGGGGGTAGCAAATAAGAATTGTTATACTACAGACGCTCACTTAAATCTATGTGCATTTTCAACCTTGAAGATGGCTTGGATCTAATATTTGTTGATCATGTTTAACTGATAATTTTTCCTGTTTACATTTTTCTTTATCTATTACAGGTTTTGCATAACATATAAAACAATGGGTAACTTATCATAATTATTGGGCAAACACTCCTATAAGTATCGACTGACAATTTCAGACATGTTACTATATTTGCAGATCTTTTTTTTCTTATCATTTTTGGTATACACAGGATTTCTTTATCTAATAAGGTTTTTTTTAGAAAAATAATGCAAACAAATGGTCCACAAGGAATGAGCTGTCAAAATGACAGCAAACTGGATTTTCTGTATGTTGAAAGGCGCTTTCAGGCTTTTTGACCTGCCACGTTCTAAGTCTATTTTCAAATCTATCAATGCCATAACTCGTGAACGGTTAAAGTGAAAATCGTCAATATTCAAAGTGACCTCCATTTTGTAATTATAATATCAACATATTAAAATTTGAAAAGCATTGGTTGAATGGTTTATAAGTTAATGGACGGAAACTGTTGACAGCCGCCAGCCAGCCCACTGCCCGTCGCCCGCCCGCCATACTTACCAATTTGGTAAACCTTCGCAAACCCAGTTAAAAACTGTCATTTTGAGGCAATGACCCCTATAGAGAGTCGACCGACATTTCAGACATTCTGACAAATTTTGCGGGTTGTCCTTGTTATAATTTTTTTTTTTAAATTTCTCTTAATTTATTTTGGTTTTCAAAATAAAAAAAAAAAAACAAAAATAAAAACGCAAAAAATAGTTACAATCGTCATTTAGGAGCAATTACTCATATAGGAAGTCGACCAATGTTTTCAGCCATTCCAGCTTATTTGAAGAGCTTTCTTACTGATCATTTTTGCAGTTTAAACTTTCTATTTATCTGTTATAAATTTCAAAATAATATGCATAAACGCAAACATTGATACACATTGTCATCTAAAGGCAATAACTCATAATATAAGGATTTTACTGGCGATTTCGGACTTTTAGTCTGGTTTGAATGTCTTGCTTATCCTTTTTTTATATTTAAAGTTTCTGTCTATCTATTAATGTTTTCAAGATTAAAGGCAAAGAAGCAAAAAATGGTAAATAACTTCTATAAGTAACCAACGTGCGATTTCTGACATGCTGACTGTTTTGTAGATCTTATCTTGCTTATAATGATTGCTATTTAAAGTTTCTGTTTTCAAGACAATAAACAAAAACGCAAAACATTGGCAAAACTCGTCATTTAAGAGGAATAACTTCTATCAGGAGCCAACCTACAATTTCGGACATGTTAATTAATTTGTAGATTTTGTCTTGCTTTTTATATCATGTATGCTATTTAAAGTTTCTCTCTTTCTTTCTGTATTGTTATATTTTCTCTTTCTATAGGGATATCCAGATAATAGACAACACTTTCATTTTACCCCTATGTTCTTTTTTTTAGCCATGTCAGTCATTTTTGGATAAATTTCACAAATGATGATTGTGGCCCACACTCGCCCCACAGGCACTTGTCTCAGAAAAAAAAGTCCTATATATCTAAAAAAAAAATCTGAGACAAGTGCCTATGTTGTGGCCCAGTAGTTTCGGAGGAGAAGATATCTGCAAAAGTAAACGGACGACAACGACGGACGACGGACGGCAAGTGATGAATATAGCTCTCTTGACGCTTTGGGTTAGGTAACCAAAAAAAGGAAAAGGAGTCGAATGACAAACATTAGTTCACCACAAAACATCATTATTTAAACAAAATGGCTACAGAGAGAGAATTTTACTTATCACTTTCTAACTGAATTTGTAAAATTATAACTTTAACTTTATTGCAAAACATGAAACCCTGGCGGGTTAAAATGCAAACATAGTACATTGTATACACAAGTGACAAGAAACATAATACATGATAAATGTTTTAAACAAGTCAAGTCGATATTAATAATATATATATATATATATATATATATATAATTGACCAATGTGGACCTTATTTTCGCAATTCCATAGATTGCTTTATATAGTCTACAATACTAGACAAAATATCTTTATTGGGATCTAGAATAGTTTTAAGTTTAGAGTTTGAGTCAAGCTGGTTAAAATTAGGATAATGGGTTTTAATTGCATTTATAAGGGAATGCCTTACATTACTGTTAATTTGGCAATGAAGGAATAAGTGTTCCTCATCATACGAAATTTAAAATAATTAAGTGATCATAATCTCGACAATGGGTAGATATAAAAAAGTACTTCGTAATCTTAGATGACTGCATTTTTTTCTCGAGTAACGTTAACGATAATGAATTTCATTTCTTTTTCCATTGAAAACAATTTCTGCTGTGTACTGGTCTCTCAAAATATTGACTAAATGAGGTTCACTTACAAAAATAAAGCTACAACATATACTCAATCCAACACTTTTCCAACAGTACAAAGTACAAGGTTACTTTTTAAAACGGTCGATGGAACTGATGAAAAGGTACTCTTGATTATCTGATTGTTGTAAAATTTGTTATGTATATGCTTCATGGATGGATAGTTGTCTCATTGGCACTCATACCACATCTTCTTATTTATATTCATGTAATTTGTATTTTGTTACAATATAACGTCAGAGTACCCAAATTGCACATTTTCAGCAAAAATAGCAGCGGGATTCTTACAAGTATTCTTTGAGACTAAACAATTTGTATTTTCATGATTTGACATTATACATGTCTTTCAACATAGGTAGGCTATATTTGAATATACACAAAACGTTCACAGTATATATCAACAGATGATGTATTCACTAGAAAAAGCAAAATCTTCGGAACGTCACCATACAACGTCCACAAAAAGTCATCTTTTAAAAATGATCAAATTAAATATGTTACAAGCATCCACTTCTTAAAAAATGAATAGTAAACATGGACTAATGTCAAATTGTTCTAAATATTTGAATAAATAAAACAAAACATCTGTTATACGATTTTTAAGGATGCGAATTTAAGTATGGATGCAATTTGGGTACTCCTCATTACAGAATCATGGATCGTTTGGGGGTTGGTTCAAACCCATTTTTCTATGATTCAAGATGGATTCAAAATTAAATTGGTGTAACAATATAGTAAATAAATATACATCTACAAAATAAACACAGAATGGAAACTTGTGTCTGGATCATAAATAAACGTAGGTGAAAAAACTGTCAAAATAGGTGCAATTTGGGTACCCTCACGTTGTACTTATGCTTTACGCCAATAGAGCGGACAGATTTTCCGAAAAAAAACCCATAATATGCCAAACTAAATAATAGATTTCCTATGCATTCCATAAGACTTTCAATTACCTGTGAAGTATCATGTGGTGTAGCGTCCTGTATTCCGCCGTTTGAACAAGGTATGCCATCTAAAATAAAGAACAATGTATGTCATCTAAAATAAAGAACAAGTTATGTCATCTAAAATAAAGAACAATGTATGTCATCTAAAATGAAGAACAAGGTATGTCATCTAAATTAAAGAACAAGGTATGTCATCTAACTTAAAGAACAATGTATGTCATCTAAAATAAAGAACAAGGTATGTCATCTAAATTAAAGAACAAGGTATGTCATCTAACTTAAAGAACAAGGTATGTCATCTAAGATAAAGAGCAAGGTATGTCATCTAAAATGAAGAACAAGGTATGTCATCTAAATTAAAGAACAAGGTATGTCATCTAACTTAAAGAACAAGGTATGTCATCTAAAATAAAGAACAATGTATGTCATCTAAAACAAAGAAGAAGGTATGTCATCTAAAAAAAAGAACAAAGTATGTCATCTTAAATAAAGATTGTAAGATGAGTGTCATCATGAGAACTTAAACTTTCTAAATAGACGAATCATAAGAAAATCTCGCGGTTATAATCATAAATCTGTCTGTCTCCATTAGCTCCCAATTGCGTATTTTTATGACAGGTCAAAGTTCTGCCTTTGTTGTCATTCCAAACAATTTCATGGTTTAATTCAATAAAGGACTTTCGAACTAATTCAGAAATTAAACAATTTGATTAAACCATAATCGACGCTGTCTATATCTATGAGGAATACCAATTATTAAGTGGACATTTGTGATTAATACAGAGCATGCAAATAATCGTGACGAATGTTTTCTTACCGCTTTCAAGAAGATTTGAATCTTTACTGATGTATCCACTGTCTTCTTGTTCTTCCCCGTTGCCTGAAAAGTACATTTTTTGCACTATAAACTTAAGCAGATTTCATATATAATGATCTTTATATTATTCTATTTAAAAACTAATAACTATAAGTACTGGAAACTATGGTAAATATTTCTTTTCATTATGCCATTGCGGTCGAGTATAGTAAAACTTTCAGGTCAGTCCGGATACATTGAAAGAACAATCAATTAACGACAAATAATCCAATGATGTGTAGTCTTGTTGTTAAAGAAAATATACAAATAAATTGACTAATCTACGATTTATTAAAATTATATTCCAGGCTAATATTCACATTATACACAGTTCACACAATGTATGATTCAAAGATTCATTTGTACATCACTTTCACACATCACAAACGGATTTCATTACATTCCGCATCAAAATAAGCAACAGTGTCCAATACTGTGCACACACAAAAAACCACGCATAGTGTCCAATACTATGCGGACAAAACCACGCAACAGTGTCCAATACTGAGCGGACAAAAACCACGCAACAGTGTCCAATACTGTGCGGACAAAATATCAAAACTAAATACAGTTGAATAGTAATGTAACACAACTTTCTATGAATCTATGTAAGTCCTCCCAAGATCTGCTAAAATCTGCCCAGAATCTGCCAAGATAACAGAATCCTTTTGAACGTTTCATATTGTATAGTTCTTTCCTCGCCTTCAATCTTCTCAACACTAAAACAGGGGACCGTTATATACCCATCATCTCTAAATATTCTCCAACTGACCTAAATAATCTCCAAATATTCTCCAACTGACCTAAATATTCTCCAAATATTCCCCAACTCTTTGTTTACAAAAACAAAATAAAAGTATTTACTACGTGACATAGAGAACATGCTATGTTAATCTATAATAGCAGGATAGCCATTTGACTTAATGACTTTAACAGACGATAACCAAAACTTTAATATGACAAAATTAATTACAGTGGACGATAAAATAACACTCTAACAATTATGTAAACTGATAACAATAGATGAAAAAGAAAATTTCGAGATCGCGGAGATGTATTTAAAAAAAATAGAATTCCCGATTTGCTACAAGTTTTGCTACATTTTTTGACCAATGATATGTGTTTGTTCCTGTAACAGAATCAAGGAAGTTGAACAATGTAATATATATAATATGACTTAATCATGCAGTACATGCAAACTGAAATAAAAGAAAGGTATGCATATTTACTGCTTGTCAGAGATTATCTTACAATATGTAGTAAACAATATGAGCTTGCCTTTCCAGATTTTACTATTTAATAAAAAAAGAAGAAAAAAAAACAACATAAAAGTGAAAAAGGGAATACATCTGAATATATACCAAATAAACGTCGGTCGTTCTATAAATACAACTGTTTCTTTGAGAATCAGTGAGATTTAAACAGATTTTGGCCTCTCATTTAAGAATTGAATGCTTCTTTTTGTAAATTTCTTGGGTTGTAAAATGGAATTCATATCATTGTTTTTACTCGGAATATTAATATGTATTTCTAATTTCAAGAAAAAATCAAAGACTCAACAAATGTTTTGATTTGAAAATTTCACATATTTTAGCTCCTAACGCCCATGTGTTTTTTTGTATTTGGTGAATTATGTTTTCTTGGCGATCGTCAATTATTTTTCTCATCATTGTGCTGTGTCTTCCCATCTATATTTCCTCGTGCTCATTTCCGTCAATGTTTTTGAAAATATTCCTTATCAATCTCCGCTGAAGAGATCATATCCGTTCCGTCTGTACTTAATAATTTTTTTTATGATAATTTTGATTGTTTAGATATCCTGAGTGTTTTTAGAATTATCTTTTTTCTATATTTTCTAAAATTGTAAAGTTGGTTTTTCACTTTGAATTGGTTGCCATCACTCCGTTTAATATATGTATGGCCAGATCATATTTTTTCGGACGTCATCAGTTGGAAAGCAGGTCACGGTTTGACCCCAAGTCTATCAGCAACAATAGAGTCACGTGACCGTGAAAATTCTGTAAAACAACGACGGAGACAAACCTCACTTTTACTCAATAAAATGCCACTGTCATGATAAAAACTTATTGATCTAAATAATCTTGAATATACATAGTTTTCACTCGTCAAAACTTACATGTCAACTAAAAGTCCTTCTTTCTTAATTTTACCTTCAAACTTAAAGTTTGCGTGAAAATTGTCAAGTCTCTTGATCGAAAAATCTAAATATTTTCGAGGAAACTAAAAATGATGGGCTGAATTTAAATTTGATAAAGCATCTCATTAAGACAAACACTAGATATATCTAGGCAATAGAGTTTTGGATACGCAAACGTCAAGTTATTTTCAACACGAAGCGGTGGTTTTTTTTACGATTTGTGCAAGTGGTTATCTCCCCTTGACATCACCAGTCGAAAATAAAAACCCAGCAAAAAACATAAAAAGGAGTTTACTTTACAAAAATCAAGATGAAAATTAATGAAATTTGATTTACGAGTATGTTATTATAATATTAAGAAGAGATACTTCCCTACTTTTCAGAGAAGGATTAGTGGTAAAAATTAGAAGACAAAAAATTGGTAAAAATTTAGAAATGTCACCCAGAAACCTAGCTGAATTGATATAAAGTAGCTCTCGCTGATGAAATTTACTATGTAATTTTTGTAATGGGATATGGGATCACTTCTAGTAGAAATTTTTGTAAATACTTCTAACAATGTTTAATGCAATAAAACATACTTTATATAATTTAAATAATCTTTCTGAAATAAACTTGAATAATAAATAATACTGATCATTTTTAAAAATGTTATATTCTAAAAAGTGGGACCATGAGTCACAATAGTTTCTTCTATAAAAAAAACCTTTTAGGTCAATCCTATGTTTCTTAGTTGAACAGTTCAGTACTGCCTAGAAAATATCCTACAGAAAAGGGATCTGTTTAACAAAAATTTTGAAAGAAAGTCTGTAAAAAATAATACTTAAAATTGTAAGTGACATAATTTTGAATTTTAAAATCATTATTATTGTAAAATTCAATTATTAGGTTAGCAAGCACAGCTAGTAGCCCTTGCCAAATTTCTGAGGGTATTTTATAGATTAAGAAAGTAAACTTTTTGGGGAAAAAATGGGGCTTCTACTCTTCAAGATGCTGTATCAGCTGGACCAGTGGTATACATATTTTAAAACAAAGTATTGGATATTTTTTATCTAATTGATAATTGGAAATTTATATCACAAATGATGGATCTAGTTGGTAAAACAAATCTTGTGCCTTTTACTTAATGGTTGTGAAAGATAAGAATTTGCCATTTGAATAAATTCAATTTTATAAGAAAACATCTCAATGAATTAACTTGATTTCTGGTTTGAACTGATATGCTAGTTTTTGCACTTATTACTGTTACGGTAGCTTATTTAATAAAGTCAGAGATAATCAAATAAGCAAGGTTTTTAACTTTTAAGTATAAAATTGACTGACCTTCATTTCCTTTTTCATATCCTCGCGATCGTGTATTGTATTTTCGACCTACTAACATATTTCTCCGAATTTCCCTTTTATATGTTTGAACAAAGACATGCCTAATATTTTGAGAGTCACTAGTATACTTGTGCATAAAATAATTGTATCTAAAATATATTTCGATTTTAAATATTTTTTTTTATTTGAGTTCATTAGATCGATGGCACGTTGTTGACAAAAAATAGCGTCTTGTGTTTCCGACCTATCTAAGAAACTGGTCCAAAGTCGGAAGGGACATGTCATACAAATCCGGAATTGGTTATAATTTGATGCCAACGTCTATATCAAATTATTTAAATTGTTAGGAGGCGATCAAACTTATGACTTAATGAATTAAATGGTTACATATACAACTTTAAGATAAAAAATATTATTTTGATATCTTTATTTGACTAGTTGTACACATTTCACATGAGGCATTTTGGGGGCAAGTTTGATCTTGTATACAGCTGAGACTACTATAACACATGTGTTATAGTAGTCTCAGTATACAGCCATGCGACGAGGATTTATTAATAAAACAAAAGTGTTCTGATTTTGTACTTGTACATGAATAAAAGGAGGTGTGGGGTAAAATTCAATGAGAAAGCAAACCAAAAAAAAAAACAAAAAAAAACAAACGAGATATAGAGGGAAAGATACAATTTTCAACACTAGACAAATGTCTATACGATAGTTCAAGCTCTAAATCGTCCCGAGTCTATAATTAAGGAATAAATTAAGCAGAAATTATTGAAGATCTGCGTACTGTGTGTTTGAAAAACAAGAAAATCCGCCCTCATAAAAATCTGTTTGATAAATCTTAACCATTTGGAATAGATTTTTTAGTACGATACAAGTGCTACAATAATCTATATATGATAGAGGAATATTTTGACTGATTTCCCATAATTAATTGAGACCATCATCCTAAGTTTTGCATCAATATAAAGTGGATATATGTCCGGGCTCACCATATATGATATAGTTTGGAGTGGGAGGTGTCAGATTAATGAGCAACTTACAACATGTTAGATGCACCTTTTCCATAATTTCGAACCATATAATAGATAACAGAATAGGTTTGACAACACTATCAAAAAGATCAATGTAGACAAGAAATTAGGGAAAACAAAACAACACAAAAGAAACAGAAGAAACCCATACGAATCTTTCAAACTACAAATAAGCGATTTGAGGTTTAGAAAAAGGCACAGTGATTAAACAGCAACAGACAATAGTTCAATATCAAACTTTCACAGTAATCATATGAAGCTAAAGAGAAAGATTTGAAGTAAAATTCATAAACACTTAATTGTTACTTTATAAAAAATGACCCGTAGAAATGTTGATGCAAACTGCCACATTTTATTAAATTCTTGCAGTGAACATTCTACGTTTATTGAAATCCGAGACTTCATTGCAAAGTTATGCACATAAAAAAAACTGAATTATGAGGAAAAGTTGTCCCGTAAGTCATAAATGTTTGTATGTACATTAGCATGAGAAAGTGAAACATCCACGTGTGTATTAGGTTTTGGTTCAAGGCAAACTATTTTTGAAGGACGTAGGGTGACCTGTAATGGGTCACATCCTTGTTAGTCGTTTACGATAGTTGTATAATTGGAAACTATACCACATCTCCTTATTTGTTTTAATATTAAATGAAACGAATTGCCTGTTTCGGCTGTTAAAGCAATTGGTACGGGAAATGTTGATGATGGATATGTTTGAACAATTTCCACTATATTAATATAACTTTCCTTTATGATAAATAATTCATTCAGAAAATGTTTTGATCTTTTTATCTGTTAACAGACTTCCCTGTTTTCTTCCTGTTTTAAACATTATATTAAAAAATGTTTTTTTGGTGATTTCTTTGGATTCCTTAACTGAGATGACATTGGGAGAATACAGCAACAGTGACAAATCGGCATACCGAGATACAGGTTCATACGGAACTTCTGTAGTGTAAGTGTACATTCTAACTTACTCTGAATGTAATGGCCGATTTAAATTTAGTCAAAGATGACATATCATTAAGTATTGAAAGTTAACTTCCTGATTGATTTTTAAAAAAAGTAAACGAATATTTATTAATCAAGTTTGAATTACTGATAATTTTTAAACACTTACGCCCTTTCTTATTCCTGATTATGGTTGATCTTAATTGTTCATATATATTAGCAAATTCATCCAGCTGATTTTTAAGTTTGTTTTTTTCACCGCGAAATCCTATGTCGTCTATGTTCAAAATTGCCTGGATTTCATCTGTAGAATTTTTCTTCTTTAAAAGATCATTAAGATCAACTATACCATGTCCAAGAAGATTATTCATATGCTGTACTGCATCATTAATCTTACAAATGTAATCTCTCGTAGACGTAGGCTTCGATGTTGCCATTTTACATTCCTTTCAATTATTGAACATATATTTTTAAAAACAGGAAGAAAAAGTAATCGAAAGGAGGAAGTTTTTGGTAGGTAAATTATTGTTACCTTTAATAGATGTATGATGAATGAATTTAAATAGATGTTTTACTATCTATGGCTATCACGTGATGGAGCGTCACTTCAAGTGTTGCATTGTTTTTGTTATGATTTGGTTCGGTCATGACTGAGTTAAACTTCACCATAAACTTTTGGTAAACGTAGCTTTGTTTAGCCACGATATTCATTCAGTATACAGAAGAAAAAAAAAATGTGGAAATGATTTTTTTAAAGATTTAACAGGAACAAGAGAATACACCAATTCAATTAATTTCAATGTTTATTGCCATATTAAACTTTAAATAGTATGTTTGTGACAAGTACAAAACAAGTATACAATATTACTGAAAATCCACATATAAAAGTTAAATGTATATTGCATTTCAGAAAATTAAATACTACCTTGGAATTCAAGTTTCAATTTGTTCATAAAAAATTAACAAACATGTGGATTTATGTGATATTCTCCACTCAGTTATACCGTTTTAATCACGTAATGTTTAGCAGATACATACTAGTGGAAAAAAGAAAATGTGTGCCTTCTAAAAAGTTACATTAAACTTACAAACTTAAAATTTTAATGTGACAAAATCTTGTTAAAATAATCCTTTTGACGATCAACTCGGCACGAGAGGCCTCGGTGGCCGAGTGGTCTATGTAGTTCAACGTGCGTTCGATTCCAAACTTAATTGACTAGGATTGTTTTCTCCGGGCACTCTGGCTTCCTCCACCAATAAAAACTGACCTCCAAAAGAAGCCAATAGTGCTGAAAGTAACATTAAACATCAACAATCAATCAATCAATCAATTTTTGCATGATTCTTGAACATATGCTCGTTTTTCGAATTTTCGAGCGTACGATATTTGATGTGTCAATATTTTGTGTATTGAGGTGGGTGTAAATAAAGGCAACATTAGGTTTCCAATGTACAAGTCTAATGAATTGATTAAGAAGACAATTTAAGGTAACAAACAAAATCTGGAGAAATCGCATGAACTCCAAAATGAACGAGACCCGATACGTCAATAGGATAAGCGTCTCGTGCCATGCATGGATCCCCCGACATGAAAATCTACACTTTTAAAAATTTCTTAAATTCCTAAATAACGGAAAAGACATTTTTGTTTGAATAAACACATCTTTTCGCCAAACCAAGCAAGATTTAGCGTTGCAAAGAACTGTGGTAATGGACACGAAAGAACTTTACCAAGCATTATTGTGGTGACGTATTCTTTGATTTGGTTACAATGGATGTTTTTTTATTGTCTTTGCCTACTCTAGTGACGTGACAAAGTCAAGACATCAAAATCTTACCCATATATTTAGAAATACACAAGGTCCCTCTTCTGGTAGTATATATTGTCCCTCTAGTGTATTGTTTTGCATTGTATTGCTTTATATTGTAATGAATTGCAAATTACAATACAATACAATACAATACAATACAAAACAATACAATACAATACAATACAATACAACGTACTACAATACATAAGTATGCTATAACATGCCATCCCATACTGCACATAACATACGATACGGTACGGTACAATACAATACAATACAATACAATACAATACAATACAATACAATACAATACAATACAATACAATACAATACAATACAATACAATACAATACAATACAATACAATACAATACAATACAATACAACACAATACAATACAATACAATACAATACAATAAATACAATACAATACAATACAATGAAATACAATACAATACAATACAATACAATACAATACAATACAATTCAATAAAATTGAGAATGGGAATGGGGAATGTGTCAAAGAGACAACAACCCGACCATAGAACAGACAACAGCAATAGGTTACCAACAGGTCTTCAATGCAGCGAGAAATTCCCGCACCCGGAGGCGTACTTCAGCTGGCCCCTAAACAAATATATATACTAGTTCAGTGATAATGAACGCCATACTAAACTCCAAATTGTACACAAGAAACTAAAATTAAAAATAAAACAAGACTGACAAAGGCTAGAGGCTCCTGACTTGGGACAGGCGCAAAAATGCGGCGGGGTTAAACATGTTTATGAGATCTCAACCCTCCCCCTATACCTCTAGCCAATGTAGAAAAGTAAACGCATAACAATACGCACATTAAAATTCAGTTCAAGAGAATTCCGAGTCTGATGTCAGAAGATGTAACCAAAGAAAATAAACAAAATGACAATAATACATAAATAACAACAGACTACTAGCAGTTAACTGACATGCCAGCTCCAGACTTCAATTAAACTGATTGAAAGATTATGTCTTCATCATATGAATATCAGGCACAATCCTTCCCGTTAGGGGTTTAGTATCATACCATCATAACATATATGAGAAGAACATAACCCGTGTCATGCCAACAACTGGTTTTTAAACAAATGTGTTTAGTGCCGATGCAAAGACCCTATAAGTGAATCAATATTAACGCCAAAATATGCAATCTTTAATGACCTGACAACAGTATCGTAACTATATCCCTTCTTAATAAGTCTATTTAAAGGTTTTGTCAGCTTCAGAGGTGAATACTGACATTTTTGTGCTTTATAAAGAATATTTCCATAAAAAATTGGATGTGAAATACCTGAACGTATAAGAAGTCTGCATGTTGAGCTATATTTACGAATGATGTCCTTATACCGATGATAAAATTTAGTAAATGTTTTGACTAGTTTGTGATATCGAAAACCCTGGTGTAATAATTTTTCAGTAATACATAAATTTCTCTCGTTAAAATCTAAAACATTGTTACATACACGAGCGAATCGTACAAGTTGAGATATATAAACACCGTAAGATGGTGACAAGGGAACGTCACCATCTAAAAATGGATAATTAACGATAGGAAATGAAAAATCATCTCTTTTATCATATATTTTAGTATTAAGCTTTCCGTTAATGATATAGATATCAAGATCGAGGAAAGGGCAGTGGTCATTGTTAGTATTAGCTTTATTTAAAGTAAGTTCAACAGTATAAATTTCTTTAGTATACACACTGAAGTCGTCATTATTGAGAGCCAAAATATCATCCAAATATCTAAAAGTATTATTAAATTTGTGTATCAGATGTTGTTTCGATGGGTCTTTGCTGATTTTTGTCATAAATTGTAACTCATAGCAATACAAAAAAATACAATACAATGCAATATAATACAATACATTGACTGATTGATTGTTGGAGTTTAACGCCACTTTTACAACTATTGACAATAATTTGATAGTAGTAGATCTATATTGTCTGTGGATTTGGATAACATAAACAAAAAATCTTTTTAAAAAAGTCTATGTACATGTGTATGATAATACAAATTGGTCATTTAGTTATATAAGATATATATTATTTTTTTTTGTCAACTTTGAAGTAACATATGACTTTAACGTTGGAACTCTGATAAAACGGATAACGGACATTTTTGGTCAGAATGAACTTATGGCCATTTGAATTCACACTTAACATAAGCGGTAAGATTCGTTCTTGCATAGTCAGAAAACAATTAGCTCTTTTTCTGTACATAGTGAATGTCATTCCTGTTCGATTGAACAGCACACAGACAAAAAAACTTTGAAATAAAATAACTCTTGCAACTCACACCACTTCTCTTACATCGACACAGGAATAAAATGAAAAGTTAGACTTAGGGTTGCTTCAGGGGTACAAATTCTACAGTACTAATTTATTATCATATTTATAAAAAAAAATACGTTCGTAAGATTTGGGAAACATGAACACTTGCCTACCTATACGGCCATATTACCATGTCTCTTATTCTATACTATACCACAATGTAAAGCCAAACACACGCCGACCTACGTAAACGGAAATTTTCTATCTATTCTTAACCAAAGGTTTTCTGAGTATTAGTTATTTAGGTTCTTTCCAGTACAATTTCTGTAGAAAAATGAGGAAATACTTCAATATATCCTGCATTATTGTTTATTTTGATTTATTTTTCATTTTTCTGTTTTCAAAAATGTCTATTGACTGACATTATCGTTTAGATGATATAATAAGTGTTTTCCTGTTTTTGAAAAAACTTTGTATTCCAAAATTCAGAAATTAACCTTGAAGTTTAGCACAGTCATTATTAATTTTATTATTGTCATTTTATTTATAATTTCAAACAAAACCCCGGTCTTTGTTATGATATATATTTAGTTTGATAAAATAATATGTTTTTATCGAAAGCGTTATATGCATACTACTAGTATAAAGTAAAATATGAGATAGTTTAATGGCGGCCAAACATCCAGCGGCAAACATTACACTTATATTCAGGACAAAATCATGTAAGAGGATGTGGATGGGATTAACAGAATAAAGAATAATGGGCCAAAAAGAAAAAGAATCGAGAAAATGGGCAAAAAAAAAAAAAAAAAATAAAGAAAAGAGAATGATGGGGTGCTAAAATATAAAGAATAACTGCAAAAATTAAAGAATTGGGTAAAACTATACTGATTACAGAAAAAAACAATGTCCAGAATACAGTTATCAAGTAATTACAGAATAGCCATTATTTTTAAAGATAAAAAAATAATGAGCGAAAAAATTAAAGAATACAGAAATGAAGGACCCCCATCCATACCCTCATATTAATATGATATGAAAAACAAAACATCAGAGGTACCAGGCTTATAATTTTGTACACCAGACTCGCGTTTCGTTTATAAAAGACTCATCAGTGACACTCGAATCAAAAAAGTTAAAAGGCCAAATCAAGTAATAATTTGAAAGGCACTGAGGACCCAAAATTAAATTCCGAAATGAAGATACCCTGCAGCTGCTTTAAATAGACCGACAATACACCGATCGGAATTAAACAGGCATGGTTTGTTCGACTACGTGTCGACCAGTCTTTATTGTCACGTGATCTGGTAGAGCAACAAATACCGAATTTAAAGCATTGTGTTGTTCTTTTTCGAGTTGATATTCTTCTTCTTAAGCAGTTATCTTTGTGGCAGATTTTTAA